TAAATTGCAGTGGAGCTATCGTAGTGGGAAAAAATTAAAATTTGTAATCGTAATCATGAACCATGAAGACAATAAAGATTTTTGTTCTACATAAAAAAATATAAATACAAAAATCATTCAAATAATTTAATCTTCATTCTCCTCCTATGAATATTTTTAATTAATTTTTTAATTTTGCAACATATTATCATTTAAAATATTTTACACTGTTATTGTGAATGTCAGAATGTCATCATTAATATTGTATATTGAGATTAATTTTTCTTGTGATTATTATTATTATTAGGTACATAAACACATATGGGGCATATTATTACCGTAAGGTGTAAATAGTATGTAAGTAGGTACCATAAATTCTAACACATTGTTATTCTACTTAACCACCATACAATAATTTACGTCTTAATGTTTAAAGTTTAAACACAAAAGTCAGAAATACGATATAAATTATTTCACCCGTGGCCAAATAACTATATTATTTCTTCGTATAAAATTATTAAATATTTTCATATCTTAAAAACAAATCGTTTGTATTTTGAATTAAGTACATCATTAAACAAGATGGTTCCTATCTGAAAAACATAAATTTTGTATACCCACAAGATACTCCTTGAGTAGGTATAGGTAGTAATATAAAACATTAGGTAGGTACATTTAAAAGATTCCGAAAATCGGATTTTGAATCATTGCATTGTTGAAAGAAAAAACGGTGAGCAATGGCCATTGAGCCAGGGAGGGGGCCAAGGGGCTCGCCCCCCCCCCCCCAGACATACTTCCCAATTTTTTTTAATAATTCTACAAATCCTGATATTCCTATATTTCAAATTACGTCCTTTATTATGTCTGATAGTATACGATAGTATGATATATTATTATACGTATCGTTCTGGGGTGCACAAATTAAGATAATAGGTACCTACTAGGTAACTTAGTTCATGTTAGACAGTGATTCCAATAATGTAATTTTACTTTAACAAAAAATTGTGCCCCCCTCCCCCCCATATCTTTGCTCTGAATCCGTGCCTGCATTGAGCATGGTTGGCGAATCCATAGACATATAATATAAATATATATATAACCATAATATATTATAACTATAGATATGGATCTGTGGTACGTATTTACTATTTAGTATTTAGCACTATCATTGATTAAATATTTATTTATATCTTAACTAGGTATGTATATATATTATTATAAAGAGGTAAAGTTTGTGAGGTTGTATAGGGGGTCATCTCTGGATCTACTGAACCGATTTTGAAAATTATTTTACCTATAGAAAGCCAAATTATTTGTGAGTGTCGTTGGCTATTTATTAACCCAAAAAATGAAAAGATTCGTGGTAGTCGGCTTTGCACATTAAGTCGGAGAAAAAACAGTCGAACGTAAACGTTTCTTACGAACGCTGTCTTAACGATGAGAGATATATGACAATATATATACAATAAACAATATATAAACATATTACTCTTAATGTAGACTGTAGAGTATGCACCTAGCAGGGCCGCAATCCACCGCAAGTGAATAGCCTACCTAATAATATACTACTCGCATTATCACAACTCACAAGCTAGTCTCATATAAGCGGTCCCTACACGATCAATATTATTGCGCAATATAAATATTGTGCAATATTATATTGTACAATATTTTTGAATATAAACGATTCAATGTTTTTGTGCAATATATTCAGTTTGAAATAACTATTCACTGAGAGCAGATTAGTGATTTTAGATTTTAAAATTATTTATAATAATAATTTATTATTATTATGTCTAAAAAACGGAAAGCGTGTCTCGCAATCGTTTTATATTTTGCAACCGCAAAAGAACCAAAACGGCGGCGTTGGGCTAAGGAATGGTATTTAAAACGAGAAGAATTTACTAGTGAAAATTTGGTAATCGGAAAAAAAATCCCTGGAAAAAAAATCCCCGGAAATAAAATCCCCGTTAAAAAATCCCCGGTAAATAAAATCCCCAGAAAAAAAATCCCCGGAAAAAAAATCCCCAAAGCAACTATTTAAAAAAGTACATAATTATAATTAGTAAAAAATTTTAAAATTAGTAAAAATTAGATAATTAGAAAATAAGTAAAAAAAAAATAATATAATATTAGTTAGTTAATTAATAATAAAATAAATGTATATAATTATAGTCAGATTCGGTTCAGTCGGTTCGTTTTCTTATATTGTTAGACACAGCTGTCAAAAAGTCTCCAATGCTTAATTTATCTTCACTTTGTCTTATAACTAACTCTTTCAAGCGGATATTTATTGTTTGATTTTGTCCTCTTTTTGTACGTCTTGGTTCACCTAAAGCATCCAATGCTAACTGTGCTCGATCGGCGTCAATTTCATTTTTAATTTTCCTAATAAGTTTCCACATTGTAGGATGTTTTTGACCAACTAGTTTGGAAAACCTATTATTCCACCCTTCAACGATGTTGTTGGTTCTGTGGCAGTCATTGAGGGTGGTTTTATTTACATTCCACACAGCTGGTGGGAACATTGGTGGCAGTTTTCGAAACCTCATGTTATTTTCGTCGTTTCCAATTCTTCGATACTTGCCATTTACATAATACGAATCAAAATAATCTAATAAATCCATAAGATTTTCAGGCAAACTATATTTTAAATATTTCATTCCATCTTCTACGAGGTGCAATGGAAGGAATGCAAGTGCATCAATCATTCCACATTGTTTTCGAAACTCTTCATCCTTATGGTATTTCGAAGCAAAGCCCAATTCTTGTATTTTCCTGAACGTCGATTGACATAAGTGATAGAAGCAGCCTTTTATATCAATATGGACACCAATTACTTCTTTAGCTGCTTCAATAACTGCGCTTTCAAAATCGAGATGTAAACATTTGGGGTCAGGGTATACATTTCGTTCAGCACATTCATCCATTATAATTTGAAACATTTCTACGTATGTATTTTTAGTTTTCCTTTGTAAAATACAGTAAATCGTAGTTACAAATACATTATTTTTTTTTACCCGTATTACATATAACTGTAGGAAAAACTTTGGAGACAGTCCGAAATTCCCGTCTAAATACCAAGTATCTGATTCTGAAAGCAGTTGCAAGTGTTCATCTGTTGCAAATATAATTATCCTTTCAGATGCCTCTGGACCATTATCCCTCAATAATAGTCTATTATTACCCAATAATGCCCATTCACCTGTAATAAAATAGATATAATTTGTTAAGTATAGGATTTTATTTTCTAATTAATATAATTAAAAAAAAAAATTTACCATCAATAACAATTTCTTTGATATTTTGAGGTTCGTTCGGATTATGAAAACTTCGATGATATCTAATACTACGTTTTAAATATTCTTCCTTGGGTAACTCAGCTAAAACATCGACATCCAGATTCCCGATTACCTCCGAAAATATTTGGCCGGGTGTATCATTTGAGGATAAAGCTTTATTTTTTATTTCTTGTTTAACTTTTATGGCAGCTATAGCTATAAATAATAACAATTCTTATTTATATTCATTGGCGGAAATCTTGCGAACATAAAATATTTGTAGTTTTATATTTGTTTTTAAATTTGTTTGTATAATATTTTACATAATATTTTATAGGAAAATTAAAATTATAAGTTGGAACACTGTCCTATAGTGATTTATTTTATCGTCTGTCGAATAAAACAAAATCTGTAAAATTATATTCTGGACGTACTAATTGGTTACTAATTCAGTAATAGGTACCTACTTATCAAGGCCTATGATAAAATTGTTATCGACAATAATTTGTCGTGCTACATTAATTTATTAATTAATTAAAATTTGAGAACATATTTATAACACATAAATATATAAGTGTCCTAACTATATGTAAATTATTAAATTAAAATAAATCTTACCATTTTTATCGGCAGAATGATTGTGTTCATGGATCTCCCTTGGATTACTATTTTGAAGCGATGTTTTTAAAATGGCTAAACATTTAAATGAACTATATTTTGCACACCTCCATCTCTTGAAAAACTTACAGTCTTTTTGGTGTACATAAGTATAACCATTTAAGCAAATTTTATAGTTCCCTTGGTTAGATTTAACAATTTCCATAGTCGCATTGATTTCCATAGCCGGACAATTACGGCCTCGCACAGTCACACAAATCAAAGTTACTTAATAGGAACTGAAGATGTACTAACCGTAACCGTTATAATAACGTATAGATACCAAATATTACGTATTTTGAGTTATTTTGACTTGTATTTTCCCAATTTCAAATTTTATTGCTCTATGCCAAGGCCCACCCAACTAGCGGCCCGCGAACCTTTTTTATCTGTAAAATGCTTTCTTATTGCACACTAAATTTGTAGTACGAATGTACCGTGTAAATTGCAANTTCTTATTGCACACTAAATTTGTAGTACGAATGTACCGTGTAAATTGCAAGCCTCGATCTATCATTGTTCAGGCTCAACGTTTATCAGAGAGTGTCCAGTGAGTTAGTCAAGTTATATATTGGTAGTATTATAGTCATTCCGCTTTTAAATAGTTGCTTTGGGGATTTTTTTTCCGGGGATTTTTTTTCTGGGGATTTTATTTACCGGGGATTTTTTAACGGGGATTTTTTTTCCGGGGATTTTTATTCCGGGATTCTGAAAATTTACTACGTGAATTAAAGCGAAGTGAACCAAGGGATTACCAAAATTTTTTACGCATGAATAATGACAGTTTTAATGAGTTGTTGGAAATGATATCTCCAATAATTACAAAACAAGATACCGTGATGAGAAAGGCTATTTCACCAACAGAACGACTTGCAACAACGCTCCGATTCTTAGCAACAGGTCGAAGTTTCGAAGACTTAAAATTTAGCACAGCAATAGCACCACAAACTATCAGCTCTATTATTTTGGAAACATGCGAGGCTATGATAACAAAACTGCAAGAATACATTCAGGTAAACAAATGTTGTTTTATTATATTATACAATACACACTTTATGATTGAAAAAAAAAAATTAAACATACTTTAAATAATTGAAAATAAACAAATTTACTGATCGGAGTAATTTGAAAAATATGCTGCTGCACTGTCAATACTATCCAAAGAGTGATACTGCTCTATATGAAGTTGTGGTGTTGTCAGTTATGGTGATGGTGTTGACGAAGTTGATGGAAATGACCATACTGAGGATTGAGGTGTTATTTGGTTACTTAAAGGTTCATTGATTTTTACGGAGTTTTTATGTAAAGTACCCAACTGACCTTCATACAAAATATCATGAATGGCTTTTTTTGCATGCATTTGTTGATCAACTCTCATTTTTTGTATCTCATTTGCCCATGATATTCCGAGATTTTCATACTCATCGTGATTTTTCAAATACTCACATGCTATATTTAGTAATTCCTTTTGAGAAGTAACCATTTGTTTTTTTTGCTGGTGGTGGCTGTATGGTTGGTTTCGGTCTTAGCTTAACATTTGTGTATTGTTCCTAAACATATAGACAGGTAAATTTTTCACAGAGTTCCAAGTATCATAGATGATATTAAAAAAAATAATTAATTGTCCTTAATTAAACGTAATGTCACTAACATAAATATTTATATTATTTTAGCTTCCTAAGAATTCTGAAGGTTGGAGTGCAGTTGCTAATGGATTTGAAAGAAAATGGAATTTTCCTAATTGCATCGGTGCCGTAGACGGAAAGCACATAGCAGTACAAAAGCCTAAAGGATCTGGTTCTCAATATTACAACTACAAACATTTTTTTAGTCTTGTACTAATGGCAGTCGTAGATTCAAACTATGAATTCATTATGGTTGACGTAGGAGCTAATGAGCGTATGTCAGATGGAGCCGTGATAACAAATACAAAATTTGGTCAGTTATTAGAAAAAGGAGAATTAAATATCCCTCCTCCAAAAATAATGCCCAACAGTAATTATCAATTACCATTTGTTTTTGTCGGAGATGAGGCATTTGCACTAAAAGATAATTTTATGAAACCTTTTCCTCAAAGAAATTTAACTAGAGAAGAAAGAGTGTTTAACTACAGGCTATCCCGAGCTCGGCGTATAGTAGAAAATACATTTGGCATATTAGTATCACGTTTTAGATTACTTTTGACCACAATAAATTTATCACCAGAAAAAGTACAAAGAATAGTTTTAGCTTGCTGTTATCTTCATAATTTTTTAAGAAGAACAATAAAAGATCAATACTCAGATATTTCAAAATACAATAATTTTGATAACCCTGAAAATGACGTTAATATAGAACATCCTCAATTACACTGTCTACAACCTTTACGAGGAAGAAATGCATCAATATCCGCGAAAAATATTAGACTAAAATTCTGTGATTATTTTAACAACGAAGGGAAAGTTACTTGGCAAGAAAATATTATTTAAAATGTAAATGTATGATAAATGTGTTTCTTAAATGTATGTTCTTATAAAATTGTTTATTTGTAATAAATAATTAAACTTCCAATTACCTCTGGTATGTTTTGCTCCTGTGCGTTTATTGAGAGGTCTACGTCGTCTTGTGGCTCATCCTCGCTTTGTAAAATAATTGTAGATGATCCATCCACAGGTACTTCTTGGTCTTGTAGAAAATTTAATTCATTATAATACCATAACGGAGGCACGTATATATCATCAGTACCACTTCCAGATTTGTAGGACGCTTTTACTTTTTTCAGCTCTTTTCGATAATTAGTTCTCAGACTATTAATTTTCTTTTTCACAATTTCTTTGTCTGCATTTGGGTCCACTTCTTTATATTTTTCAATTAATACATTATATGCCTCATTCTTCAGGTTTCTATCACTATATTCAGTACTTTTAACTTTCCATAAAGCTGTATGTTGGCGATATAATTGCAATAGTTCAATAATAAATTCGCGGTCTTCATTGCGTTTCGCCATGGTGACTTGAATTCAACTGAACCGTCAAAAACAATTATTGTACAATATTATGCCTACACGTACAAATTATTCAATATTGTGCAATTATTTTCAAACAAGCACAATTTTCATTCAATACTTGCGCAGTATGCACAATATTAGTATCAGACGAACAATAATATTGCACAATATCAATTATTGCGCAATAATATTGATCGTGTAGGGGCCGCTATAGAGTTGGCATTTTTAATGGGCAACGAAGTGCACGAAATTTGTTGCTACTCGCTAGAGTATAATGTATAAAGTATAAATATTTTATATTTTTATTATTTTCATGAATATAATATTTAATTCATGGTCTGGTTGTCTGGTGGTGGGGGGAGGGGTAGTGCGGCATTTCAAACTAAATTGATGCTCTTCAATGTGCACTGTTGCGCTATCTATTGCCACAACGCTCTATTTTTTCACTGGTTTCCATAATCGTGCATTGACGTCAGCCACGGATGTAGATATATCTATATCCGTGACGTCAGCGAGCAGCCTATATACGTATATTATTATAATCAATGTGTTTATAAATCATATAATCGAGAATCGTGATAAATGATAATGACGATATATAGCGGTCTTTATCAAATTGTTAAAAAAAAATAAAAACACGAACTAATTACTTAGAGTTTGGTGTAACTATTGATTAATAACAGGAATTATTAACTTAATTATGGTTTATTATTTATGTTTTAGTCAATAGTCACTAGTCAGTGTCAAAAATTAAAGCTAATTTAAATTAGTTGATATTAATTTTTAAGTACGTCATAATCTTTACTATATTTACATTTTTACAAATTCATCAAAATATGCTATAGTTTTTATGTTTAGTATTTGGTTTTATTTAACAGATGGACAACTAACAAGTATCAGATAAGCGTAGATACATTATGTCCGCATTCTCAGAAAGTTTGTGAGCTTTTTTAAAAGTGTAATTTTGGTTATAAATAAGTTTAAGGTACCTAACGTATTGAACAATGCTTCCAGGACGTGGAGTAGGTTGTTTGCCGGGTAAGTCTTTAGCAAAACACTGTGTTATGTCCATACTGAAATTATAATTTATCAGTCATTGGTCATTATTATTACTAAATTTACGAAATTCTCACAGATAATCCTTTGGGTCTTTCTTGGCATGATAGTAATTGGATTCCGATGCTCAACTCTAATAACATACTAGACTACTTCTCGGAACGTAGTAATCCATTCTACGATCGAAGTTGTAATAATGAAGCTATTAAAATGCAACGGCTCAGTATGGATCAACTGAGGTAAGAACCTAACTCAAATTCATGTATTCTTTTACCTCACTGTTAGTTATTGCAACTTATAAAATAACTAGTTCTAGTAATGATTGAAATAGCTAAGTTTTGGAAATTGTGTTTTTTGGCTACTAAGACCCGAAAGTATAGAACCAAGGACTTTGGAAATTAAATATGTGTTAATTTGAAGAAAACTCAAGGTACATTTAGAGTAATTCAATGAAACATTATTGTGTTTTCCAAAAAAAAAAATTGCTTGAATGTTTAGAAATTTGATAAACTTGGCCCCAGTGCATTAAATGTCAAAGAATGTATTATTTTGTAAGACAGTGCCAATAAGAATATTTTAAAATTACATATGTTTTGTTTTAAACGTTTTATTTAGTAATATGATTGGACTGGAGTATTGTCTCCTTCATGTGCAAGAACCAATTTTGTACGTAGTACGTAAACAACACAGACATTCTCCAACACATTCTACACCAATTGCTGATTTTTACATTGTTGCTGGAATAGTTTATCAAGCACCAGATCTTCTTTCAATTATTAACTCTCACATGGTATGTAAGATTTTGATGTATTGCTTATTTTTTTTTTCTTATTAAGACTTATAAAGGCTTCAACGGCTAGGTCATTAGCCCGCAGTTCTGTTTATATTAATATTATTTGATAATTTAGTTATAATTGATAATTACATAAGGCTATAGGATAGGTAGTTTTTACAGTATTGTATATTTTAATTTTATATTAGTTGTACAGTTTTGTCCTTCTGTTAAATTTTTGTGTCAATGCATTTGAAGAAGCTATGGATCAAGTGTGTGTTGTGTTCTCCTAGTGCTTTCTCCATCGATAAAGGTTGGTTGAGGATGTTCCTTGCGTTGGTGAATTGTGGACAGTCTAAAACTATATGTTTGATTGAGAGCAGTTCATTGCATTGGCTGCAGAGAAGTTGATCTTCATGTTCCATAACTTGGTGTGGGGATGGTTGGTATAGCCAATTCTGGATCTTGTGTTAATAACTTCGGAACTTCTAGAGGCATTAGGGGCTGAGTATACCATTTAGTAATTTTCTTTTTAGTTGATTTTGCAGTCGCAATGTTGCCAGTAGAGCGCATACGACAAGATAGCCAAATTATATCAATTATATATATAGGCTATATTATTAATCATTATTTTAAAATTTCAATCTTTTTTGAGAGATTGCTTCCTACAGATGGAAAGCAACTAACTCATTTTTATTTATACATTTTATGTCAAACCAATGTTCTATAATAATTTATACTCAATTCAACTTATAAAATGTACTCAGTAGCCGACTTGAGCCTCAAAAGCATCGTTCAATACACAAGAAGCATACACATTGTCACGGTTGTGGGTATTGCCTGACTGTTATCTCACAAACATTTTTCACGGCCAAATTGTTCTAGTTTATAGCACTAAAAAAAGTTTAGTGATCCTCATAGCCTAGTGATATGTTAATAGTTAAATAAATAATAAAAATAATATGTTAATACATTTAAGTATTTAACTCTTGAAGTTTATATGGAGAAAAATATTAACTTAATCAATTAAAAAAAGTAAATTATTTTTTTTTTATTGAACTAATGCCCGACAACTATGGCCATCAACTCTTTTTTTTATTAGTCACGAGAAAAGTGTTCACAGTTTAAGCAACCATTGTGAGTGTGATATTACAATTAAACAACTTTTAACAAAATATTAAAATATGACTTGTACCAACATTGATTGTTTTCTTCAATGGTGTGATCTTATACGTTACCAAATAAATATTAAAATATAAAATAAATCTATTTAAAATTTTGAAGTACAAAGTTTTATTTGAGTAATATTCCAAATGGAATATTAGATGGGGTACCTATGTGTTTAACAATAAGTAATTTAATTCTTATAACTATACTGTTAATTGTACATATACCTATAGTTACCAAATATATTATTTATTCGTAGATAATTTATTCCTACATATTTTAGTTTTTACTATAATATAGTACATTAGTACATACTTAATATATGTTTATAAAATTTTTTTTTTTAGATGTCTTCGGCGTACCATTTAGAAACTGCATTTGAAGAACTAAACTCATTAGCTAGATTTCATCCATCTAAAGGTTATTCATGGGAAAATCGTAGACCTGGTCAGCCTACTGGTCCTGTAACTGCTCCTCCTCCATCTCCAGTTAAGGTTACCGGCAAGAGAGACATTGAAGAAGCTAGTTCCCAATTTCAAAGATTACGAGTAGATATGTTGTTAGTCGAATTAACAAGAAAGTTTCCTTTACCTTTACCTCAACCTCTTGCTGCAACACCTCAAAATACTATAAATAATCAACAAACAAGTAAATACATTTTCTAGAACTAAAATTAAGTTAAACAATTTTAAGACATGAAATAGTTTAAATACTTATTTATTATGTATGGTGTTTGATTTGGGTAATAACATTTTGTGTTGAACAGACAATCCCTTTTTTTTTAAAGATATTTCTATTTAACCCTTCTAAATTTTATATCAAAATGAAATACTAAAAATGGAATTTAATAAACTCTTTTTCACTTTTATTGTTATAATTTATTTCAAAATATACAGATTTTATTTTATTTTGTTATTTGTAGGGTATATTAGTATGAAATTAATATTCATAATTGATATTTGCTTATGGCATAGTAAAATGAATAATAAAATAATAACTTTTTTTTATTTGCTTACAGATGAAGTAATTAAAAAAGAAGTGAAACAAGAAATAAAACAGGAAATGATTCAAGACATAAATATTAAACAAGAATCTCAACCTACTAACTCGTTATCACCATCAATGAGACCACCTCCAGAAAAAAAGTTTAAGCCCGCATAATGCATTTATTATGTATAACATATATATATGTATTATTTATGTACATAATCTGCATTTTATATTCAGATTAAAGTGAACATATAAAGTATTTACTTGATGCCAACTATAACCTTTTACTTATTTTAATTCAAAATGAATTGTTATTTTTATATTGTAAATGATAGGATTATTTTTAATGATAAAGCAATGTTCAAAAATTCAAAATAAGTATTCAGGGAAATCTCAAGAATATAAAAATATATAATAAATATATTTTGTATATTATGATATAAACTATTTATTTTAATTGTTTATATTCACTATACTAAAGTTTAATTACAATTTGTGTTAGTTAACAATGCTTTAGTATGATAACATGGTACCATCTAATTTCATGCCATAGCATATTAATATATTATGCCAACTTATTTGACCAATTGGCTATAGTAAATTGTAGAGATCCGTAATAATAAAAGAGTGATCAACCAGCTGAACGTTTTCTATTGGTTTGCTGTTATCATTGATTATGGGAGCCATTTTTCATCCAAATAATATTATTCTAGTTTATTCAAAATCGAGTACAGATGTATCATGTATAGTATATTGTATATTATATATTTATATAGTAAATTCGGTAAAATATTATTTATTTATTTATTTATTTTCCAAAACTTTTGAATTGAACCGTGTGATCATGCCGACTTGTTGTTACTGCAGTGTACTACTACTAATTGTGAAGTATATGTATTTTTATCTTCAAAATAACTTGTAAATTGTCATGATTTGTTGCAATTTATTCAAACACTTATAAAGTTATAAAGAACATTGTGACCATTTATGTACAGTATTTTAAATTGTTTTAAGTACAACTTATGTATAAAATTGTATTATATTTTCAAGCTTTTCGACTGAAAAACATTTTTATCAACATTGGTATACAAATAAAACTGAAAAAAAATTTCAAATCCCTATAAAATAGGTAATAGCCTAATTTTTATTTTTTTTTTTTGATCCTGAGCCGGCAACTGTGGCCATTAGCTATTAGTAGGTACTGTAGGTTTTTGTATTGATGGTTTGTAGGTTTTTTGGAACGGTAGGGGGAACACGTGTGTGTTTGTTTTTGGCAGAATTTCGAATGGGGCACCCGTAGGTTTCTGCCATGCCCCGGGGGTGGGGGATGGCAGTAATTATTTTGAAAATTGATTTTTGTAAGTACTTAATACCATAAAATATTAATGTAATATTTTCTAGGTATTAGGCTCATTTTGAGCTATTAAGGCATTTAAAATTGTTGATTGACACTTTTTCGGTATTTTTTTTTTGATTAATATTGATAAAAATCATTTTCATTATTTTGTGCTTTTTATAAAACGAATCTACATCTATTGACAAAGTGACCGGTACTTAGTAAGTATTAATGTATAAATTAAATGTCAATAATAATAATATAATATGATATAATATTACATAATATATGTGCGTTTTTAGTCAACGATTTTAGTTCATATTTAAACCTTTAGTACGACTAATAGTAATTTTAATAAATTATGAAATATAAGTTTAAAATAGTGGCTGACTCGTTTTTGTACCTATATGCAATGATTTGTCGTTTTGAATTAAAATTCAATACATTCATTGCAATTTAAAGGTAGGTGGATTATAATCTATAACAATTATAATAATATGTTATATTATGAATAATATTGCATAAATATTAAATGTATTAGATGTGTGTGTAGTATTGATCGTAATTCATAACAGTATTATAATAAATTGTAGTAAAATATTATATAGTATTATAGTAAAATATATTATACACATATTATTATTATAATTATTATACACGAATCTCGTACATTGCGATGGTATTACATCCTCGACGCGTGATTGTATAATATTATTAGAGTGTCACGTGCATTGTGCCACTACTGCCACTATCCATTTAGGTATGTAATATTCCGATGACATTGGGGCAGTATTATAATTTATGATATTATCATGACGACGATGACAACGTCGTCGATGGTATCGGTTTGGCGGGAGTCATCGTGATCTTTTTGAAGCCGTACACCAGCAGCACTGTGTAGAGTACGAAAGCCAAAGATATTGTGATCATCACGTACATGAATAGATTGAGCTCTGGTTCTCGGAAACGGGTTTTCTTCAACCACTCGAGCACCTCGAGTTCGGTATCCAAACTTCCTGCGAATGGTGTACAACGCACGACACGTTAATATTATTACAAAATATATTAAAAACAGTTGCATTTTAAAAGTAAATCGGTAGGAACGTCATTTGATACTGCAGGCTGCAGCTGACTTGCTACTCGGGAGTTCTAAACTAAATCGCAGCTGTTGATCATGCAAACTATACAATCATTCATAATAATAATAATGTGCGGCATACAGTAGCTAGAATAGGTCTTGACGAGATTATAAAACATTATTGTTATAATTTTTAAGTTTTTTGCTCTTTTTTTGCATGACATTTGAATTCCTTATTGTTATTCAGAATATTTGAAGAGTATCTGAAGAATGTTTGATGAGTGGTATAACTTATAAGTACCTAGACCTAGGTATTTAAAATATAAGTGATAACTAATCGACTAGATAGTTTACTTACTAGTCCGAAATTTAATTTCTATACATAGAAATACTACGGACAATATTTTACTTGTCACGTTTTCTTTCAAGAAATAATTTTTTTTTCTTCGTTGTTTTGTCACAACTTGAAACCATGCAAGAAAAAATATATTTTCCAAAACGTTGATAGTTTTTGAAATAATGAGTGTTTTACTTAAAATGGATCATTTGAGGCTAAATTATTAGTTACTATAATATACTTCTTCGTTCTTGTGTATTGTTAAAAAAATTAACCTACCTCTGTATACACTCGGAAACTTATTGCGAAAGTACACAATGGCTGGAAGCTTAGTAACACCCCATTTGCGTGCATAACGGGCGTCAGCCATCTTGACAAAAGTTATGTCCATGTTGTTCGTTTCATCATCTATAGTCTCCAGCCTCGCCAGCACTTCGGCACTTTCGGGAACATCATTTTCGTCTGTTATAAAACACAATTTGTAAACGTTACAAATCATCGTTATGCGACAATGATAATGAGTGTCATTAAAAATTACATGTAAATGTGTAATAATACTAATAACTAATAATTCACTAAAACATTATAGGTATTAATATTACAATACAACTATAATATAAGTTTAGATCCTCGATACTCATTCTTCACGATATTTACAATAAATAAAAAAAATAAATTATTTCACATAGGTAGTTCAATAGGTAACAAAAAATATAGGCATTTAGACTTAAGATATTTTTAGCTCTGCAGTTTCCTACAAATAATTTTAATTTTGCTCAAATATTTAAAAATATTACAACAGCCTTTTTGATACGTTTCGAATTTATTTCCTTCATTAATTTTAGGTTCAATTATAATATAAGTTACTGTCTTGTACGCACGCGTCATTAATAATTAATATTATAATTCAAGATTTTCTAAAATCAAAATAACGATTGCAGGTACTGATATTGTGCAAGTATCTCAAAACTATGTCCAGGTATTATGGGTATCAGTATAATTATTTATAATAACTTTTAATAGATTAGTATATTATATAATTTTATATCTATATTTTATAGAGTAGAAAGAGAGAAAATTTGATTCTCAAATTAATAACGGAAATGCGAGTAGCGACGATCGACAACACTATTGTCACTATATGTCTATATTATAAAACATTTGAGTATTAAGGTGAATATTTTTTGATTATTATTAGTAGGTACGTAAGTTTAGCCATATAAGTAATTTATAAAACTTCCTAGTAATTATTAATATAACAGTATAGCCGTATAGGTGTATAATAATATAATACATCTGTATCTTTTATTAATTACCGTAAATTGTTTAAATGTATTAATCGTATTGATAATATTTTTGTAATTTTAAGTGTTAAACTTAGTTTAGCCTCTAACCCAATTGAATTTTGTTTGTACTCTTTGAGTCATCGAGAACCTATAATTTTACACTACGACAATCGTGGTTGGTACATGTACTTACAGAAAAACACCGTCACGAATTCGTTTTCATTAAGTAATTTCGTTAGCATTTTCTTGTTTACCTCGTCGATTTCATTTTTTATTTCAAACACATCCTGTGAAGTCAACCATGATAACACCTTGTCTTCATCACTCAAATCGCCTATAAAATAGCCAAGTGATTAGAAAAAATACACTCAACACTCTATTTGTAATTTTTCACGTTTTTACCGTCAAATATTTCAGGTACTCTCTTTCTAAAATATACCAAAGATGGTAAACTTATGATGTTATATTTTGAAGCCACTTCTGGATCTGATATTTTGACCATATCGATACCGAATAAATCTGCTTCACCGTCAATTATTTCTAGTTCTTCTAAAATACCATCACAATCTTCACAGTTTTCATCGTCTAAACATTGTTGAATTTCATTTATTTTATTTTTGCGGATACGACATACTATTCTAGGTAGAAGTTTATTTACAGAAAAACACTGCTAATAGTAATGATTCGTCCAATAGTCTTTCTAGCATACGGCTGTTTACCTCTTCGATTTCATCTGCGAGTTCACGATTGTCGTCATCTATTAGCCATTCAAGAACTGATTCCTCATTTTGTAAATCACCTATAAACACGTTATAATATTTCGTAATAATAGCCTATAAAAAGTCTTATGTTATATGTATATTTTTAATTTTGTCATAGAACCATAGGTTGCAAATAGCATTTGAGATTTAGAGGGGGGCTTAGTCCTTAAATACCCCCTGATTGCTCTGTTATAACTAGTTATTACCATCATACAGTAGAGGATTTCCATTTCTAAAGTATACGAGTGCTGGGAATGTCTTAATTGAATATCTTTTGGCTAATTGCGGATCTTGAATCTTTACCATGTGTATGCCATATAAATCACACTCGTCGTCTACTCGTTCTAAGTCTTCTAAAATTTGATCGCAAACATGACATGCTTGCTTATCTGTATGCAATAATGACAAATAATTAAATAAATTAGAATATATTACATTTAACATATTCGAAATGTAAAGGA